TACTTTTTCCTAGTATAGATGCATCTCTTGGATGTATATAATCAGTGTGCCACTTTTAGTATCAAAACCCCTAAAGGTGTTTTCATCTGGTTTTTTGGGAAGTATTAAACGTGCATTTGCACCGAGTCCGTTGGGATTCGCACCCTCTAACTCCTACAAGCTAACAACATAGCACAAATGGTGACATGCTATATATCAACAGTGTAAGACATAACAAGTATGAGTCACATTTTGTTAGAATACACACAGTTTTCATCAATGACAGATTTCCTAAAATATAACGTCTCGGTTGGGTACTATTAGGAAAAAACAAGAAAGATACATAAACTCTCATTCAAAACATTGGGTTGAGACATTTGTTTTCACCAGTAACGGATTGATTCACTGACTAACAGAAAGACCGACAGACAGACAGACTGACTGACTGACTGACTGACTGACAGACAGACAGACAGACTGACTGACTGACTGACTGACTGACTAACTGACTGACTGACTGACTGACTGACTGACTGACTGACTGACTGACTGACTGACTGACTTCGTTCTGTCGTGCAACCCAAAATACATTTTATATGTAATGTTTGTCTGCGGTACTAAAGTGTTTGCATCGTTATTAGCTCCCTCAATCAAGTATTGTTCCTCAAATGTTCAAGCGGTTTCGTATGTCATATAAGCACGTGCGCGCCGAGGTGATTCGCTGCACTGTACATCGCTGGTGTGTGTGTACATGTGGAACTTTTTACTCGTTACTTCCGGTCATGGCTACCTACTACTTACTGCTCTTTTGTACAGCCCTACTATAGGTGCACATACCTACCCGCCCTGGTCTGAGAGACGGATGGACGGACTATGTGATAGCACGCATTACTTCTTACTCGCCATGTCCCACGAGAACATCAGATCGCTCGCTTTGACTACCAGGTATCCATCCATGTTCGTGAAACTACGCCTGGTGTAGACCAGCGCGGATCATTTATCGCGCACAAACGTGCATGCGACTATGTGTGTGCCCGATAAACGCGCACGTAAGCGTCCATCCGTCCGTCCGTCTGTCCATCCACGTTTGTGTGACAGATGAAACACACGCACACACACAGTGCAACTAACTCGTTTCGTTTCAGCCCGTAATGGTGATTGTAGATTTCATGTGGATGTCAAAAAACGCGTTCCACCGCACGGTTAATGCAACGGACAACGGACAACGACGACAACTATGGGATTCGGTGTCTACGACAGCTGCACAATTGCACTTGGACTTGGACCGATCTCGGTTTCAAGTATGAATAGGAAGCCTGGCCCAGTGATTTGAAAATCACTTTGGTTTATCATGTTCAAGAACAGATTAATAAGTGGAACAGGTTATTGTAATACATGATTAATTAGCTGAAATGTGATTTAGTTATTCAAGTGAATAATGAATGACTGCGATGTCTCCGTGTATTACAATCTTTTCGGGATATTTTTGTGTTGTGAGTTGAGTCATTTTTCAACTTGTATCAGCTACATACGGTAAAATAACCTTAGCATGTTAACCCAATGCAACAAGTAGTCAGGTTGTGAAAGTTTCCCACCGAGTCATAACTCCAGGAGGCTAGTGCTGAGATGAGCGAAGGGGGACAGGCTCGTGAAGGTGGGTTGTGCCATACGGTGTAAATGGAACACGAAAAATGGTCTCATCATTTGTCCAGTGGCCGAGTGGGTAGCATGCTTACATGCTACCCATTAGGTCCCGGATTCGATCCCCAGATAGATCGATGAATTCGGATGATGAGACCCAACCAAGTCGAAACAGCTGTCCGGTGCTTCCCAGATTTTCAGTTTACTCTTTGTTTGCTCTATACACGACGAATTCCCTCTCTGAAAGATGCCCTATTTGCCAAATTCTCTGGTCAACACAATCTGTTTGCTCGATAAAAGCACAACACCGTTGATAGCGAATAAATTCAGATCCTTCTGAGCAGCATTACAATTGTGTGATCCGATCACGTGAAATCATCTCCATGTGAATCTGCTTTGCTTTTGAGTTTATTTTGACCATGGATTGTTCATAGATTTTGTCTCTATCATGGCCGAGAAAAACGGTGCATAATAACTGTCCCGTTCTCACTGGGACTTGTTAGCAAGAAATTTTGCGTCCCAGCTTGGACTGGGACCATCAAAATAATCTCGGGAAATGGGAACCCTTAACTCCGAGCAACAATTTTGACATATGTACACTGGGGGGTTGCTTAAAATATTCACATACCGGTTTTTCGAAGTCATTCAGTCTCAATATTCCGTGCGCATTGGTGTCCTTGAACGAGATTGCTATCAGCCTACAACTGAGGGCTTGGAAATAACTCTATAGAAAATCACAATGGAACCACGTTTGATATACGCACAGTGCACAGTATTCGCTCATCAAACCATCCTACTGGGAGCTTTAAAGAGGATGGTGTGACACTGCCATGTATCAACCAAATGTACCTCGCAGTATACAATCTTTCCTTGTGTTTCTGTGCAGGTGCAGGATGAAATCACCGAGGCGGTAATGTGTGTGTGTGTGTACAGTGAACCCCGCGGTGAACGGGCGTACCGCAGGGCTGAAAGAGTCCGCAACAACTCTCAGTCAATGGAATCCGATCCCCGATAAAAATACTAACTTAGGCTAACTTACTCTAAGTGATTTGAAAATATGAAAAGATAGAAGTACTCGATAAAATCGATGAATGACTGAATCTGGCAGATATCAAAATCGGATTTGAGGCAGATCTAAGCCGAGAACGGATAGCTGATTCGTGAACAGTGAATCTTGAGCGTACTGTGTGACTATGCGTGTTCAAACCTATAGAGCCGGTATTTGGTCATCTCATTGGAAAGCAATGGTGATTTTCTTGATTGCTTCTACGAAACAAACAAAAGTCTGTCTGAAAACTAAATCACGAGGACATGATCACAATAAACCTCACAAGTTTCCACCTTCATGTATTACGATTTTTTGGGATCAGATTAATCCTGAACGGGATAAATTTTAAGGAATTTCGGGTAGATCTGTATCATGTATTGTACTCTCTTCAGAAAAACGGGCATAATGTACATTTTTTCACAAAACAATAAACTCAGTTAGCAATGTATGAAGCTTGTTAGTTTCTATATAAGCTTTATGGTTGAAAATGTTAGTTAGGGTTGAACTGTAATTTTCGACGGTAGCAAACTCAAAACCCCGGCAACTTTACTTGTACCATTCACGTTCTATTCCAAGTTAGTAGTGATCGAGTCTCAATTTGTATCTCTTCAAACTGATCTGATATGTGCGAATGAGTAAATGGATTTCGTTCGACGGAGATAAGAGATCTGTAAAGAAGATCGGATGAGTTTGTTGCCAACATGAGCGATAGAAAATGATTAGACTAGACCGTCTGACTGGCAGTCAGCAATAAGTAATCCCTTGTTTCTTGCCATGTAACGGACAGCCTCACTGTGCCCCATAGTGCACAAGCCTGTTCGTGGCAAACTTATGCAACTACAGTGTAGCAGTGTTCCCGAGTTGAATGGATAATTTTGCACTTCTCCAACTGATGAACATGTGCTTACATGCAATAGAAGCGTGTCATTTACAATCCTAGTGGAGATAAGTTATCACAAATTTGTGAACCTCATTATTATTATTATTATTATTATTATTATTATTATTATTAATAGTAGTAGTACTAGTAGCACTAGCAGTAGTAGTAGTAGTAGTAGTAGTAGTAGTAGTAGTAGTAGTAGTAGTAGTAGTAGTAGTGATAATACTGAAATCTGATATATCATGCTTATGTGCTCTTGGTTTTCCCGGGGTCTATTGTTACATCCCATACTCCCATCCATGTATCACTATCACTACAGGAGGCTTGAACTGACCGACTTGAGCTTGATCAGCTTGTCCACACACCGTTGACCACATGAATTCCTATCTCATTTAACTCGTTTGTTATGGCTCTAGTTCCGTCGAAAGGCGCACTGTAGAGACAGAGAGAGAGAGAGAGAGAGAGCGAGAGGAAACCAGAGATGATCAATTACAAGCCAGACCAAAGAAAAACATTTGTGCATCGCCAATCAATGGTATATGGCATGGAAGTATGTGGGGTCGAAGGTCGGGCCGGGGCCGAGGTCCGGAGGCCGGACGCGGCCGGGGATGGTTAGGGGGGGGGGGAGGAGGGCGACAAACGAGATGCAAAGAAAAAGACGAAAAAAAGATGAAACACTGGAAGGGAGTATGATGCGGGTGATATATTGTCAAATAGCATTGTTAGTGTACAGCACCGAAGGCGTGAACGGCCTGAGGTAATCAACCAAAAGTGTTCTTGTTTTCTGTCCGAGTTATTTGTTGTGTGTGTGTGTGTGTGTGTGCATATGTTCTTAAATTGTGCGTATACACGCCAGGTCATATACGTGCGTGGGCACAGGCGAACTGTACACGACTTGGTCAATTCAATGTAGTGCACAGAAAAACAAAGGTGCCCTCCTTCCCTGAAGGGGGATACGTAAACGTACATTACGGACACGCACGAGCTTGCACACATTCACACACGCATCGAGATAGAGAGAGAGAGAGAAGGACAGACAGAGGGAGGGAGGGACAAAGATCATGATTACATGATCATCACAGAGGCAGTCTCACTTGATCCATATTGAGGCTGTTTCAATTTAACCACTGGCAGTCAATGATTTTCCTTTTCTTTCTACCGGGAAGAAAACGGATGTACAAAATGTTTGATACAATTTGTGTACTGTTTTGTGTTGCACACACACATACGGGAATTTCTTTGGTGATTCACTCGATCCCCTTGAATAGGATGAGATTTTTAAAAAATGACAGGCCAGAATAACCATGAACCCCAACGTGAGAAACTGTGTGGGTCATTAAGTACACGATGGCAACAATGCCTTTCTGTTGAAGTTCTTGTGGTTGTTTTTGCTGTTTCTGCTGCTATTATTGTTGCTGCTGTCGAGACGTACCGATCGGCCTTGATGAACAGTCACATGTAATTGACAGGAGGCGACGGGCCATTGTTTTCCGTTTGTAAGGGCGCTCGAACATCATTTGGGTGAATGTACGAAGGATGACCTTGCATTGTGAGTAAATCTTGACCTGAGGACAAGCCAGAAAACATTAAGTTCATTACTTGGTCAAGGAAAATTCGTCATAGCAGCAATGTGAATGATGACAGCAGGAGTCTGTTACAAATTCGGTCCCTAATTACGGTTTAATATTTGAGATAATGTTCGGCAACTGAGTAAGAAGCAAATTACGAATCTGTTAAAATTGAGTATTGCAATCTCCTGCATGTGTATCCAGTAGTTGGACTTATCGGAAAGCAGAGTTCGCCAAACCTTAATGTTATATGAACATCCTCAGCGCTGAACAGGTGATGGGCGGACATCATAACTTCATAACGACCTTGAGCCGAAACCGCCAAGTTTTAGTTGAACTGAACAAGCTAAAAACCGGAAAGGGACGCGGAATCTGAACAAACATGAATCCACCCGTTCACAAAGATGGCACCGCGTATCTGGCCGATACCCCGGGCTCCCTTACGTATCTTATTCACTCTGTTCCATTCTTACCAAACCACACGGTTAAACCTTTTCGAATGTATTTTTTCTTCAAGTATTAAATTTAACTGTGTAGGTAAAAATTTTGTTGTATTTATATGTCGTGATGCAAACTTTTCTCTGCCTTTGCCATCATTGATCAATCGTTCGTCGATGGAACTTTTTGTATGTGTATCTCGCTTCCTGTTCATTCAATCTAAAGTGTTTCAAGGTGCTAGTCACTCACCACTTTTTCCCTTCTTTCCTAATTCATAACTGTCGAACTCCGGACTGATTGTGCCGATGATGGTTCGATCGGAAGTGAATCTGTCAGGGGTTCTCAATTCCCCGAACTAAGCAATTCCGTGTGTTCTGTCGTTTAGCCCTGGTCTCCGACTGAGCCCCGCCCCCCCCCCACACATACATACATACATACATACATACATACATAAATAGCGGGAAATTCGCATCAGTAATTACGAGAATGTTTCCAGAATTTCATGGAAAAAATCATCTTGAAAAGTTATGATTTTTCAGGATAACGCTCCGTGTCATGTTTCACGAGAGATTGGTAAATTTATTAATTTAAGCAATCTGGTTCACTTATTGTTTGCTTTTAGACCTCAGAAAAAATGCCTGACTCTATGGTCCAGTTTATGCAACTTCCCCCTAATAGCCTGGATCTCAATGTGATTGCAAATCTGTTTTCTGTTTTGAAGAGAGAGGTCATTATGCTACCTATACATTGGACATTGGAGGCAAAAGTACGATACATATTGGAGAAAAAAATAGAAACAAAGTTGGTGGATTTGATACCGAAGAGACTCGAAAAAGTTCTAAAGACCAAAGGCAGACCAATCGACTATTAGTGTACACAAACTTTACACCTTAATTATTATCAATGTTAATTTGTTGTAAATAAAAACTGTTCCATTTTCTTTAGTTAACTCTTAACTCATCATGGTCTAGGTCAACCATTACCGACGATATGGGACTATCCGCTACATTCTAAATCATTCCATCTGCTGAGTATAAACGAATCATAAAAATCACGTCTATAAAGACTCACCGAGGCTTTTTTTATTATTATCTGGAAAAAAATTTACTTCAATATAAATGCTGTTGCCTATAAGAACCGACAAGTGTTTCACAGGGACCCGTTGCTCCAGTTTCGATTAGACGTGTACATGCATACATCTCGATGATCGGATGGGTGAACAAGCAATTATGTGATCACGGTGATGTTCCGATTTTTGGTCTCATGACGAAAGCAATTCCACAGTAATCCATGATGTGATTTTAGTTTTTATTTCATTTTCCACATACATTTTTCTTTTTCTAAGTAGTGACATAGATTGTGATGTGTTGGCATGAATCGGAGTCACTGAAAACGAGTTTGTTCACCACTCTGTTGTTTTATTTGAAAGGTGCCCTGTGGATCTATTCATAATAGTAATAATAATGATAATTTCTTTGACACTCATCAAAATAAGGTATTTGCTCTCTTTCGAAAATCTGTTTAGCATTGACAGCGAACAGCTATCGAAAATTCCCTTCAATGAAGTACCTTAGGGTCAGTAAGCATCTATCCAAATTGTTTTAACTGTACGTCCCTGATTAGGAAGAATACAAGTCACTGAAATAGATCGGGCTGATTGTAATCGAGTCAACACGATTTACGGGGTCAACGGGTGAAATATAGATCAGGACTGGTTACATCGATAGCAAAGCCCACCAGTCACGTGATACTCGATGCGAGCGAGCTGCGGCATGATGTGAGCTCTCATCACAAAGACTTCACCCGGTTCGAACACGTTTACCATACAATCATAAAGGTATGGTATCGATCACTTGAGGATTTACAAGTGAAACCTTCTCAATTTTCGCATTGTCTACATAGAAGCCATAGGTGTATTATGGAGCTGCTGATGAGCTCTAACAATAAAGCCAATTCTGTCTCCCACTTACTGTACGGCTAATTGAAGAAAAGCAGGGTTGGACACCAATAGGATATCAAAATAAAATGATCGGTCGAAAACTGAATTGTTAGAGGATAAACATCCTGATACATAGACTTATACTTACCGTATGGAGTGTTGTTGTTCGTGGTGGTGTTTGTAATCAACTCCTCCTCGGAATGAGCTTCAGATTTACCCGCACCTGATGGGAAATTGGAACTGGACATTTGTAATTGTAACTGATGATTCAAACTGGTCAACATCGAACGAGCCCGTTCAATGGCTCCATCGCTGGAAATTGCACCGGATAGGAGAGAATCTTTTGTTCGTTGATTGAGCTGGCCGGAGCGGGTCGTCGTATGAGTTGTTCCCGTACCGGATGGGGACGTTTGTGGTAGGACACCGGGGGACAGGGATGTGGGAGTTACACTCTGACTCAAATGATCGTCGTATCTGGGTGCAACGGAAACGGTTTTAGACATAGCCCAAGACGGTTCCGTATTCCCCATCATACCCAGTCCACTGTCGGATCCATGAATGAGAATATCTCGACCGGGAACCTCTGCCACGGTTGTCGGGATCTCTTCCGTTGATGGGGCAAATCGACTCTGCCTAGAGTCTGTTTGATACTGCCATCCGGAATAGGTATTCCATTCGGAATCCAGGATACTGCCAGCATTGTTCAAATCGAGCTGGGGTAATACGTTAGTCAGATTCGAGCCCGTATGTGATAACGAACCCATTGCATCTAAAATACTGGTGCAATTCAATCCGACTTTTCGAGAGGAATCGCGAGAGGAACTTCGTGGTAGTTCCGTCTCGATCTCTTGCGTACGATCTGATGCGGGGCAATGAGTGAAACTGGTGCGCAAGTCGTACGGATACAACAGGTCCGGGTTGATACAATTTGTTGCACTCGTGGTATTTGTGTTTGTTGTCAACCCTTGGCTGCTCGTTGTCTGGTTGGACTGTTGTAAATGGTGTTGCCCGTACGTCGCTGAGATCGTATTTGTTCCCAAACTGGGCGCGATTGCAGTCGAGCCGAAAGTGATTGCCTGATAAATAGACGGCAGTGGGTGATGATAGGGCATACTGGTATTCGTGTCTAAATTGTCTGAACCAGAAGGATGAAGATAGACCTCTGTCAGTTCACTTGTCGTGTGATTCGAACCCGGGGTGGGTGTACTGCTTTCCTGATAGTATGGTGATCGGGACCGTGGAAGCAGTTGGGACATTGTGATCAATGGAGCCGGTAGACTGGTAACCATAGCAATTGGAGTATTGGATTTAAATATTGATTCGCTGGAAGAGGGAGGAAAATTTGTACCAATTGAAAGCATCCCACTCGGAATGAGTGAATGTGAAATCCCATTCGTATTGGTTTGTACACTGAACAGACTGTCTACCGAGGAAGAAGAGGATGGACCAAGATCCTCATGCTGATCCATTAATTGGGTAGATGGTAGCGGAACACGGGAATTGTTCAGAGCGACGGAAGTCGTGGTCATGTTTAAACTGGAAGCCATAGGTGGTAATGGACTCGATATGACTTGTGTAGTCGGATCACCGGCAGTCATACCACATCCAGGACTGAGGGCTCGGGTAGTCGATGGCATGAGAAATTGTTGCATCTCTTTGGTGAATTGAGGATCACCACCGAATGTTCCCAGATTGAGGCCAGGGAAAGGATTTTGTTGGAATTTGTAGGATGAATTGGCATACGGCAGGTGAACATAGCCGTTGGGCGATGAAATATTTGCCGCCACCGCAGCTGCTACCGCACTAGCACACTTGCGACGAAATCCCCTGGGTCTTCGCCTGCTAGCACCATCCTGAAACATGTACTCGGCAGTTGGATCGATCGTCCAATAGTGTCCCTTTCCCGGTCTTCCCATCCCTGTCAAAGGGATTCGTATAAGGTGTTATTCGGATGCATTACATTAGAAAAGTGAATAATTGACAATTCAAGTTAATGACTATGATTGTCCGCAAAAAAAACAGAAACGTGATCGACACTACTTAGACTTGGCATTCGTAGTGGACACAATGGAAGTTAAAATGTTTGTCAATCTAATGTTCTAACAACGACAAAATCTGAAGTGAAACTGAACAAAATCTGAAGAGAAAAAACCCTCTAGGCCTTCACATATAAGCGTTTACTATAGAAGGTAACAATATCGGTCGTGGACCGCTAAATCTGTTGGATAGCACACCTGTTACCTGGACTTTGGCAACACACACAAACACTTGTCTTAGTCCGGTGTTGTATCCGTGGTCTTCCTCTGACCGAGTACAATCATGTGCATGCGGTTGTCACCTTATCACACACACGCCCGGGGTCCGGAGGTTGAGGGGTGTTCTTGTTCTGTCCGATCAAGAACATCAGAATATCACATTTGGCCGATCCGACTCATCTAGTTGAATTCGTCCATCGGCACTGTAGATGACATTGACAGTGACAGTCTCCATTACTTTATGATTGGGTTATCACCCCATAAACCGGAGCTGGTAGTATTGAAACCCGGGCACACAATAACATGTTCGAAATCCGCGACTGTGAATCATGCATTCCATGCTTTGCATACCGTTTGCATTACCCATGACAATATCCAAGCCCGTACGCACGCACGCACACCTTGAGATACACATACAGACACACATACAGTCGTGCGCACAGGCATACTAAGACGCATCTCTTATTATTACAATTTGAAACTCAGTAATAAATAGCCGTGTGTCTGTGTGCATGTACGTGTTTGTACGTGTGTACATTTAACTACACACACCAACACAGACAGCCAGGACTATATTGCGAATCTCGACCAGCACGTCATGATGTGTATACGGGCATAATTCTGGCGCACGACAGGGAACGAGTGAGAGGTTTAACCGCATATTCGGTGTCTACGAGCTTCTGAATGTGTGTGGATGGGTGGGGAGCATACCATACGATTTTATTGATGCTTTCGGAAGTGTGCACGCGCGCATTGGTGTGTGTGTGGGCACAAGGCTTGTCAAGTTTTCTGACAGTCGTCTATGCGACGACAATTGGCACGGAAAGTGAATCGGGATCCATCCCTTACGAGATAGGCTAGATCACACNACACACACACACACACACACACACACACACACACACACACACACACACACACGAACACAATATAGCTCTCCGCTCTCTCTCTCTCTAATAATGTCCTACAAAACCCAAAATGATGGGTACACCTTGTACACTCCTTTTCCGGTTCGTTTCAGCCAGCACCGTCCACGAATCTGGTGAACGCTGTGGGGCCGCGGACCTGCCCGGGTACCACCACAACTGATATCAAGTTATGCATTCTCTCACGAGCGCGCTCAACCGTCCGTCCGCCTGCCAAATCATCCTTACACACACATTCCCTGTTGTGAAGACTTTATGCACGCACGCAAGCACATCTTACAAACCAGTCGTCAAGGCAAAACGCAAGACCAGCAAGAAACGCACTCACACAAGTATTTAAGCCTAGTCGAGTGGTTATCAGGGCGTCTGCTATGGACACGTGTGTCTGCCTGTCTATCTGTCTACCAGTTGATCTGGTCATTTACGCCAGGTGTGGTGCGCGCTAGTTCCTGTACGTAAGAGGTGTGGGAGTGTGTGTGTGGGGGTGAGGGTGTCTGAGGTGATGGAGATGCCACCGATCGTGGTGGTGTTAGTGCTGGTCACGGTGGCGGTCTATAGGGAGACAGAAACGTGTTTTCAGTTCACATTAGGATTGACTGGGCTGTTGCTTGACCTACCCTCATCAACTGCACAGACTCCGCCACTCAGGATTTTGTCCATAGATCATCCATCCGGGGGTTGTTGTTAGATGCCTCACCAAAATAAGTGTTTTTGTGTGCAGTTTGCTGCACTTTTGCAAATCAGCAACATTGCATAGCGGACTGGAAGCTATTAACCAGAATGGCTAGGTGTCATCGGGTGAACACCTCACGAGTCTTGGGGATAGCAATTGTTTTAGAGAGAGAGAGGCGTGGTCAGTGGCAGACACTTTTATTCTGTTGTTCAATGCCCCATTAGGACAGCCCCGTTTGGTCATGAGATATGTGAAGTTGGAAGTTAATAATTTGGACCACGAATATTTTGTTCCAGAATAGGTGAACCCCTCTTAAGAAATTCCATATTTCACCTATCTGTCTTACTTCTATTTGTCCGATTGTATCATTTCATTACCGGTTCAACAAGCTGATAAATGTTGACTTGATTTTCACGAAACAAGGGCCAGCTCTGGAACTTATTCTGTTTTTTTTAACCCCTATTCTACGCATGATTTAATTTTCATCTG